AACATAATACCATATTTCTTTTCCTGTTTTTAGCACTGTCTAGCATAATTCCTGACAGATACTCAATTCCTAAGAGGCAATAGGTCCATCTCCTTCTCCTCAAACTACATTGGAGTATCTATTCATAAAGAAAGTAAAATAAATATTCAGAAGTCTTAATTCTTCCTCAATTTGCTCAAAATTATGACTGTCCTATTCTAATACTGTATCTCTGATGAACTTTTGCTGAATTATTTCTCTCAAGGTTGATGCACAGAAAGCAAACCAAACAGCATAAGCCATATGAACTCAAAAGCTTATTGAGATGTTTAGAAAAAGAAGGCTGCTGTTATTGTATGTTGGGTTGCTTTACTTTCTCTTGCTTAACATTTTACCTTTTTTGCCAATAATTACAGAGAAGAATGTCCTTGTTTGCTGCATTTCATCATGAGGAAACAATACGTGCAAAAGTAAATTCATGCTGCTTCCAGCACTGCTATTGTTACGAGGCATTGCTAGGTACCAGGTATTGCTATTCATTATTGCCACGGGAGAACACACTGGAGACAAGGTTTGCTTTATATTATAGACATGTCACCTATTTTTTAAACAAAACTTCAGTGCCTTTTTATACTATGTTCCTGAAGCCAAAATAGTCTATTTTCTCTGCCCTGTAACTCCTATTTCAAATCAAAGATAATGGACTATGTATGCTTTCCAGAACTTCAAAAATAGAAAATTTGGCATGGTGTTACTGACCTTAAATAAAACCATTAAGCCCAAATATCAGGTAATGAACCAAAGAGAAATAAGGCAGTGAACTGTCATACCAGGCATCAGTAAAATACAGACCAGCCATAGAATCAATATAGGATGAAGGGCCAATGCCATATGGGGTTTTTTCTCTGTTTACATTTTATGCACATAAAATAAGTCTTGCGAAGAAATTATAAGATTCCAGGGCAGCCACTGACATGTTATCCACTGGTTCATCTGGAAGCTAGCATCTGTACTTTTAGGAGGAGCAAATCCTGATAGTTAGCCAAGGCATATGTCAGGATCTTAGGGTAGGATGTTGCTGTAATCCAATCACCTGCATCATTCTGAATTCTCTAAATTCTCACTTTTCATATTGAAAGTAACAATAAGTAGTTCTATTCAGCTCCAGGAGAACAAGCCTCCACCTTTTCATGCCTATATTACTCCATCTTATTTCTTTGGGTTTTCTGAGGACAAATGAACACTAAGATTCTTCCTAAGGCCTCAACTCTGTTCTTAACTTTTCTCACTGGCCACCTCCTCCCCACTATGGCTATACTTAATAACTTATTTGCAAGGACAGACTATTTTCTGTTCCATGGATAATATGGCACTGATACCCCTTTAGGTGTTAGCTCATCATCACTTTTGTAAAAATGACCCTGGGATTATTCATAGCCAAAGAATCAGAAGAGTTTTGGGAACTGAAGCAGTAAGAGAATGGTCTTTACCTACATACACATTTTGGTACATGTCTTCAAATCTTTTTGCTGTACTTCCTTTTCACAATAAGAATGCAATCGTAAACTTTTGTTTCATTTATTTTTAAACATTAGTAATAAAATGTAAGCTTAAAAAATAATAAAAATCCATGAAGGTTATTTGCATTATAGGATATAAGAATAATGCATCACATTCAGGTTTGATTGCTGCCAAATACTGTGAGATATCCATGAGTTTTTTAAACCTGGCAGGTAAGAGTTGGCCTGTAAATTACACTTACTTATTCTGGAAAGAGAGTTCAAGTACCTCCAGACAATATGGCCTCAACTATGCTCAATAAACCATAGTGTTGAAAGTCTAGGATTGTTGCGACATGATTAAATACCTGGAAACAGCTGTTATGATGCTTATCAAGTTGCTTAAAAAATTTTCAATGGTATAGAAGGAGTGTAACAGGCTGAAATACTTGAGTAATTTTCAGCAAATTTCTCTGCATCAAAGGGGAGATTCTCCTGAAAAGGACCCGAATAAGTTAAACTCTTTCCCTTCTTAATTCTGTTTTGTTAAGCAATACAACCAAGAGTCAATACAGAGATCAAAACACCACCTTTATTCTGAGGGGTGAAGCAGTAGGACATGTTCTACTTATTTTAACCAGTATGACTGGTTAACAGCTGAACAAAGCTAACTTTTGCATTCAGCCCTGTCAATGCTACAGGGGTTTGTTCCCCAAGGGGCAGAGCTCCTGCAAGAGCATAGGAATAACCTCAAACTCTGTGGCCCCATCCAGCAGCCCTACGGGGAAGACTCCTGCTGAATGGTCCACTGCCCCACATTTATCCCTTAGATAAATCTTCCCCGTCCAAGGGGTTTAAAGGATTAAAAAGAGAGAAACAAGCAATGTCACAGAAAAGTTTTCTTTCCCACTTAGAAGGTGGTGTCTATCCTTCCCACAACACCAACACAAAACAACACTCCAGATTGTTCTTCAAGGCACCCTGTGGGTGCCTCAGCAAGATCGGAGAATTTGAACAGAGGTGTAGACTTGTGGCCTCCACCCAGATCCTACAAATCAGATTCTCTGACGGTGGGGCCCAGCAGTCTGCATTTTAACAAGAAGTCTGATGATTTCAATGCACCTCAAGTTTGAGAATAACTTTTATTTTATTACATCTCATGTATACAAACTTCAATTTACTTCAACACAAAGAGAAATTTGATAGCATGTCAAAATATGTAAAAATTGTAATGGATTTGACTAAATGAATACACTGGGGAAAAAAAAAGACCAGTGTTGGAATGCTTTTCTGACTAACATGCTCTTTTAAATTAGATCAAATACTCTGAGCTTTGTGTTTTTACAACTACAATGACAAGGTTGGAACAAATGATTTTTTTCAATCTCTTCAAGCTCACACTGTTTATGATTCAATTTGACCTCTGAAAGTGTAAAAATCACATTCAAACATGGTATTAAATATTTTTTAACCATTTCCCTGGCTCTTGGTGTATGACTGTGGACTACAGGAAATTGAATAAAGTCATACCCTCTTTGCATGGTGCTGTCCCCTCTATAGCAGCCCCTTACAAACACCCTCAGTCATGAACTAGGGACATATCATTATGCTGTGGACCTTGCTAATGCTTTCTTCTCTATTGACATAGCACAGAAAGTCAGAAACAGTTTGCCTTCATATGGGAAGGCTGGCAGTGGACATTCACTGTCCTTCCACAGATACCTCCTCAGTCCCACCATTTGTCATGGACTTGTAGCCCAGGGTTTGGCCACATGGAGGAACCACAAATGGTGCAGCTGTATCACTACATTGATATTATGCTCACATCTGATTCTCTTGCAGATTTAGAAGGGGCAGTTCCTAAACTGCGGCAACATCTACAAAAGAAACGAAGGTCTGTGAGCAGTACCAAGGTTCAGGGACCTGGTTTGTCTGTAAAATTCTTGGGGGTTGTCTGGTCAGGTAAAACTAAAGTTATTCCTGAAGTAGTCATAGACAAGGTCCAGGCTTTCCCTACCCCTACCAATTATGGGTAGGGAATTAGGAATTAGGTGCAGCAATCAGGAATAAAGTAAAAGTTTCATGTACTATATAAATCTACCAGGGCAGGCATGACAGACAGAGAGGTACAACGGTTTCTTGAAATCTGGCCTGAAGTCAGACACTAATAGTCTATGGGTTGGTCAGTTCACTTATGGACAGTGCTATGGCATTTGAATGAGAAGCCCCAGAAAGGACCCTTGAGCCCTGTGGATATGCTCACACACATTGCTGCCTCTCCTCAACAATTGTATGTGCAAACCAAAGAGGAGTTACTGAAGTCAGGATATGGACAGCTGAGCAACATCCTGCTGCCTGCCCCCACTGCATTAAACCCTGTAGAACCTGTTGAGTGGACGTGGCCCTGGACATTTCAACACATGGACCAGTGATGGCTAGTGGCACCTTGGGGAAAAGACCTGGAAGCTAGCTTCCTGTGTGCTTCTGAAGTAACAGCAGAATGGCCCCCAAAGATCATGGTAGTGTACCCAAAACATCCAGAAGGTAAGAGCATTTTACAGGGAAGTTTTGCTTTATTTTTATGACCAGTGCGTGTACCTCCCATAGCCCTATATATTGACCCATCTGTAACTCCCACAGAGAGGGGGGTGAAGGTTTGGTATACTAGACTAGGACAAGATCCCATTCCTGCCTCTGTCCTCACACAGGACCACTCTTTTGCATGCATCCTACCTGATGGACAAGATCTGCCTGGTGTCATTAAAACATGTATCTTATCACCCTTAAGGTTATTTTCTTCTACAGTCCCTGTGGCCTGGACCTGCCCCCTGGCTGCAGCTGCCGCATAATGATTGCTCTGAACCCCTACCCATTCAGCTACTGACCCTCTGTGGAGTAGGGGAACTATGGACTTAATCTGAATAGGATTTTGAACCTCGCTGAATCCTCTGACTTGAGGATTATCGTGATTTTATTTCTGTTGTTACCATGTTATTAGTCTGGTTGCAGTGCTCCAGTTTTCTTGCACAGGGGCCATTGTGGAAGATGGGGAGCAAGTAGATTGTGAGAGGTGAGATTTCTGGAGGGGTGGGCTGTGGGTAAACTTGCAGTATTTCCATAATCTCTCACCTGGCCTTAATACATCTCCATACCAATAGGTGTTTCCAAGGAGTGGAGAGAAGTAGTCCATCTCCATATCAATAAGGTGATTACAAGGGCAGGGGGAGCAAGGGTGTATCTGGACACGAGAGGTTTGGTGGGTCCTTTTTGGCAGCAGGGTCATGAGAGACATGGACTAGCAGAAGTGGATGACTGCTTGTAAGTGATAAATGGGTTTCTCCCACTTTATTTCTCCCTTTGACTGATTTCAGCTTCAAAGGTAATTTGCCCCAGGCTGGGAACATTTTCCCTCCAGATTTACACCATTATTCTTTGTGAAAAATTATTGTAGAAAAGAAAAGGCTTCCTTTTCATATATTCTTAAGAAAAACGAACCTATTTGTCCTGTTGATGAATGCTCACCTGGAGAAAGTGAGCTGCTCGCTCGGTCACTTCTCTTATTTTACCAAGGCTAGATTTCAGTTGTAGTTTGCCTTCAAGACCAAGACCAAGACCAATCTTCCTCTGCTGGCCAGCTCTATTCCCTGGAATGCCAACAATAAAACCCTTAGTACAAGGCTCATTATCTGAGGTTACTCATCCTTTAGCTTCTATCCTTTCAGTTCAAGAAACAACTCAAGTTTCTTTTAGCCTCAAGGTGACTATAAAAATATTCTTAGTTGCCATGAATGTATGCCATGAATTCATTAATGTATTTTCATGAATTGACTCCAGCTTTTAATAAAAAGTATATTTTTTGGCATATTATGCTTCTCTGAAATTTACCTAGACTTCTCTGGAGAAAGGTGGCCCAGGAAAAAGTGATTGCTCCAAACTAGACAGGGCACACTTTTTTCAGTGTCTATTGACTTACTTGTCTTGATGTCAACTGCATTTGACTTTGAGCACTGTCATAAAGAGAAGTGACGAAACCTGATTTAAAGACACAACTTGTATTTATTTTGAATAAATTTTGCATTTATATTCATCCACAGGAGAATAATCAACCAAGTCCTAATGATAGGTCATGACAGTGATTTTTCCTCTCAGACTTCACCCCTCCTATATGCTACTCAAAGTATGTAACTATTTTACTTTGTCAAGACTCAAACAATTTACTCATTCATTTTCTGTTTCTTAGATATACATATATACATATGTATGTATATATGTATATATATTGTAAATCTGTTGTGTGCTAGATTCTCCAGAGAATACAATGTTGTTTGAACACTGTTCTCCAAGACCTTGCAATTTGGAAAAAGATGTTTGAAGTGGAAGTGCTTGAAATATCCATATTCAAACTCTACCACAAATCTACTTCAAAATAAAACATTAAACATATAAACTAACAAGCCAAAACAAAAAGTTCTGAACTTATCAAAAATATTTTATCTTTTAGAATGAATTGTTAGGGGCACACAAATACCTTTATCATAGGTACTAGAATAATTCCTTATAAAAATTTGCTGCACAGAAAACATAAATAATTGATTAATTTCCCACCTAAAACCCTATTTTAAATGAATGGGTTGATTAGAACATTAAAAAGAGTACTGGTTCAGTTCAGGAGTCATAAGACCCTACTTGCATTCTCAATGTACTGATTTTCCAGGCATGTGACCTTGAAAAAAATAATCTCTGAACTTCAGTTTCTTTATCTGTAGAAAAGGATATATTAATATCTGTCTGATTAACTTTCAGGGATAATTCAACAACAGTGTAAATGATGAAAAGCAGAAGTTAATTGTAATGTATCAAACATAGAAAATATCTTTTCATTTATGATTAATGATCTAAAAAGACAATGGGCCATTTTATTTAACAATTGAATAGTATCCTTAATAAAAGATTTATGAAGCATTGTTGTTTTCTCTGTCTTTTGCAGTGAGTCACATCTAAATGCATGAAAGATAATGAAATCTTATTTCTACCTTTCCTCTTCTCCATTTCTGATTATTATTAACAAGTAAAATCACTGCCTGGAACTTCATCTCTTTCCCTTGCTCTTTCTCTCTCACTAGGACAGGTGCTAATGAGTAACAAAATGAGAAAAAGCAGAACATCAGGAGAGTGAAGACTTTCACATTTCACACAGATGATAATCAAACCCTAAATAATTATAAGTTGATATCAAAAGAGCGAGAATGTCTCTGAGTTTCATAATTGCTTTTTCTAAAATAGAAATATCATTTCAACTCTTGTGATTTTTAACATTTCAGGTTCAGATCCTTTAGGGGAACAAATATTTACTGGATATTTCTGAACTGAGGGTTTATTCAATATTTACTGGATATTTCTGAACTGAGGGTTTATTCAAAGGGCACCCTTTTATATAAATCAACATCCATACATGTTGAAAATAATTAACCATTCTGAAAATAATTCTACACTCTCTTTCTCAACTAATTACTCAGCATCATATTTGTTTCAATAGGCCTTACTGTTAAACTAACTTATATCATAAATTGTGGGTAAAAATTCTATCTGTTTAGTCTGAAGGAGAACAGACTGGGAAGCCCAGCCTTGACACTAAATACATATATGACTATGAGTAAGTCAAATAAACTGTGACTCTCTATTACCTTACATATTACATAAGAAACTAGTTTTAATAGGTCCCCCTATTTACATCTACATCTAACATTCTGGTTTTTCTTTCTCTGCTTTGTATAATTATTAACCACACATGTACCAGAAAACTATCTCCAAGGATTAATTTGTGGGACAACTTTTGTGAAGTTAATAGTCATATTTGGAAAACGATATCTCTCCAGAAGTGCAACATTCTAAATTCTATCTTACTGACTATATTATTGCAGTTCAAAACCAAATTAGATGGGTAGGGTTTCTCAACTTTGACACTACTTACTCATTGAATTTGATAATTCTTTGGGTAGATGGAGGAGAGGCTGTCCTGGGCACTATAGGATGTTCTAACAGCATTCCTGACTCTGCCCCTCAGATGCCAACAGGCTAGGCAGGAAAACAGATATGAGCAGGGTGGAAAGAGGAAAAGGCCAGGAAAGTCCACTAAAAAGACCCAGAGTTAATCAATTACAGCTCAAAAAGCCAGGAGCAACTTGGCCTGGAATGTTTGAATATTCCCCAGATAAAGGAAGATAACTCAGCATAGCCCATGTCTTTATTGTGTTAATTATGCAGGCACAGCTTATTTTTTAACTTTACCTATGTGCTGTTTTTTTCTCCTTCAGCCCGAATCAAGTAATTTGCAACTGAAGCAACTAATTTAGCATGCAGGCCCAGCCATGAACAACATAGTAAAAGATAGGAAGGATTCCATCTTAAAATTGCATTTTAATACCCAGGAAGTTGAGAAGTAAGATTCTTAACTTACTTTTTAGCAAATAGACAATAACTCAGCCCACCCTGGGGGCTGGGCAGGCGGTCTTGTTTGATATGCTCCCAGACCAAGACACCGTTATCCCAGGGAGAAATCAGAGCAGGAAGTTCCTTGTGTTAAGTTAATTCTAAATATTCAGGAACCACTTAACAAGTCTGTACCACCAGCCCTTTAGTACATTCCAGAAGAATCCTTATAAGGGGGAACCCCCAACCTTTCAGCATGCTCCTCTCTCTGAGGTCGCCTGCACTTTCTGAGTGTGTAACCTTTAAATCTTAAACTTTCTCTCTCCAAACTTTCAGGGTGCCTCTCCTTATTGAGGTGGCCTGTACATTTGCTCTCTTTAAGTAACTTTAAATAAAACTTTTTTGCTCTGCTTCACTACTGTGTCTCTGCCCTTCAATTCATTGTAGCAGCAGGGACAAGGACTGAGGAAAATATAAGACAGGGACTGTGGGTGTAGTCAGAGTAGGGTGAGGGCCTCTGGAAAAAGCAAAGCAGGATATTTACAGTCAGAGCAATGTAACAATGTAAAGTCCCTATCGAAACTCTGTGTTCATCATTATGCAAAGTCAAAGTCACACTAATTCTCTAGGGTAAAGATACCAGACTAGGAATATAGACATCTTCAGTGAGATCAGCTAAAGGTCAAAAGGCCTGGAACAACTTGGCCTGGAATGTTTGAGTGTTCTGCAAAGTATCTCAGCATAACCCGTGACTTCACTGTAAACAGCCCTAGCAAACAGACAACAAACAACCCAGCTCACCTTGAGGACAGGGAGGTGGTTCAAGTCCGCACCCTAAGCCCTCAGTTCCCAAAAATCCTCAACTGCCTATAAATCCCCTAGACAATGCACCACCCCAGGCTCTCTTATCCCCTCCTGGGGTGAGCCAGGAACTCTTTCCTCTCACTTTATTTCTAAATAAAAGCCTGTACCTTGCTTGTTAGGGTCCTGCCTTCCGAGGCTTCTCCAGAGAACAAACTACACAGGCATAGAGATGTAAATACAGGCAAAGTCTTTATTCAGCCAGCAAGCTGGGGTCGACAGCACCTCCCCTGACACACAGGCCGAGTCCAAGCTGCCGACCCCCAGGCAACTTTAGGTATTGCTTATATAGGATTTTCACAGCGTCACACAGAAGCCTGCGCATTTCTACAACCAATAATTTTTAAACACATTCTATATTGTAATCTTTCAGGAAACACTCCAGCTGCTTGACCGCTTCAATTGTTATCTCTTGCTTACCCAAGCAAGTCTATGTGACTTACCACGAATCACGCCCCCAGGCTGTTGCCCACCTCTAGTTATCTAACTTAAAGCAGGCGCATTTCTAAGCTTAGCCTCGGGTTGTTTATTCAAAACTGGATGGCCCATGCTGAGAACAAAGCACACAGGCAGTTAGGTTAAATGATGTTATTAGTCCTCTTTCCTGACTCTTGATGCCCCCTGCCCTCCTTTACATGCTCTCCTACCTTGAGTGTTTGTGAAGCTCATTCTTCGACTCTGTACACAAGAACCCCAGCATCAAATACACAACACTCCCCTGATAACAGCATTCCCTAAATCTGAATTTCTCCAGATATCACCAAATGCCTGTCATGAAGAACCAACAAAGGAGGGAGACAAAACCACCCCTCGCTGAGAACTACTGAGATACAGAAATGGTCAAATTCTTGGATCATCAGTATTTTTTTACTCCAAAACCTTTATTTTTTACATAAGTGTATTTCCTCAAATGCTGAAAATTTCCCTAACTTGCTTCAATTCTGTAAGTAGCATTACAAATATAATTAGTATGCAGTACTTATGACCATAATAATAATTTTCCTTAGAACTAGATAGTGAAAATACACTTATGTTAATGGGATAAAATATTTTTACTTCTACAGTTATAAATGGGTATTAATTTCCAAAAGCAAATCCTAGGGCAGAAAATTGTTATGGTATTTTATTTGTAATAATCAAGCTTGAAAGAGATTGAATTAATAGAAGTGATTTTTTATGATGACAATTCAATATGGAAGAAAACAAGCTTAAGTCTCTGGAAAATTAGACAATTGTTAATGCCATTCCCTTTAAGAAAATTTCTAATGAAGCAAAACTTTGCTGATGTGGTTTGGAAAGGAAGTGTGCACAACGCATAAGCATACTTAAAGACAAACAAGACAAACAGTGCAAT